ACTTTATTTAGTGGCGAGTCACATCCGCCACATCGGTGTTGTTAAACGGACATATGTGGCTTTTTATAGGGAGAACGCTTGCCAGGCGAAAACCCACCACGTCCTGGAACCCTGCCGCCGACCCATTCGCTGGAACGGGATATTCCCAAACCACCTAGCTGGCACGACGAGGAGGTTGTTCGGCAAGCCAGCCTAGCTTAGTGGCCGCAGCCTTCAGTGCATACTGTGGAATGTCGTCGGCTCCCGGAGAGCTATGGTCGCACAATGAGAGCAACTTCTTTAGTACAGTTGCCGGGTAGAAAATAAATGTGTAAACTCTGGAGTCGATACAGTGTATGACGATAGGTGACAGGGACAGGCTGAGAGCGTATTGTAGCTGCAGGGTGTTGTCTGTCTCCTCAGCGCTTTGTGTCCTACCGTCTTTTGTGAAAAGTGGATAGATGCCATGCTTAACTTTGCAAAGACTGTTGACGTGCCTTATAGGCATGCCATGCTGCATCTTGTCATGCGTTTTCGAGTTCTGTGCCTGAGAATTAGTGGGGTGGTTTCCGATGCTTTCTTGATCATATCGCTGATCCTTCCAACGAACTTCGTTCAAACACTGGCAAGGGACTGTTGTTCGAGGACTCTCAAATGAATGCCTCGATGAGTTCTCCCAGGACGTGGTAACATGTGATTGTAAGATTTAATTCTAAGTGTTCAACCGGATACTCTTCGAAGCAAACATAGTTACAAAGTTGATGTTCCGGTCGCTGAGACCTAATTAACTCTATCAATAACTTCTCGATCATGAGCCCTTCACTTGTGAGCACAAGGTCCAATACGAACGGTTTGTCTACTGTCCTGAATCTAGTTTGCTAGTTGACATGGTTGTATGAAGTAATGGGTCGCGTTAACTCCTGGCTACCAAGCGGTTATTGCTTACAATCTTCCACATTCGTTCTTGCATTCGACTGAACAATTGGGTGTAGTGATCAGCGATTATCCCTGGAGCCCAAATACTCTACAACGCTTCCTCGCTTTGGTATGCAGTTTGGAAATTTTGTGTTCAAGACCCAACAATCTTTGTTGCAAGTGTCCACACATTGCCTAGTCCGTGTAAGCTGAATAATCCCGGCAAGTAACTGACTAGTGATTGACATGCTGACGTTGATACTTGTTGTAAAGCTGCCTTCGTACTGCTGCACTGCTGCTATTCTGTACCTGCGTGACTACGACCGCCTGATTACTCAGTCACGCGCCCAACCAACCGACGGGATACAGAAGGCCAAGGGTCGGTAAACAGGGAGTCTATTCTACACGACAGGTCAGCTCTATTTATTGGTGAACGAAACATACTAATTTTGGTAGCGTTCGGCTCTCAGCCAACGTGAGTTAATTCCGTCCCACGGATTTTCCATATTTGGCAGACTGGTTCGCCTCCGTTGACTCAGGCTTGTATTTGTTGGCCAATCGGTATGCACCCGATTCCCAAATTTGGCAAAACAGTCGAAGGTCGTTCCACGCTCGTGCTGGTGATCTTCGTATGCAGCAGACAGCTTACGTGCTCCGCGGTACGCCTGTGCGCGACCTCGTATCTGGACATTGGCTCCGCTTGCCTCACCATTAATATTATATGTTCTGTTTCACATATTAGTCACGCGAATGAGTGTAACTATATTTCCCTTTGTACATCGCTCATACTGTAGTTAGGGTAAGTCAGCTATTGTCCAGATAAGGTGCGGAAGAGCAAACGTTCCTGCTACAATTTAGATTAGAAGTGGCCAGTCATCTACATTGACTTGAAATTAGGTTACTCCAACTGTGCTGGTATGGTAGTGTTTACATAAATAGTTAATTGGAAAATAAATGGTATAGGTAGAATTTCGTCACATCTAGGCTCACTCAGACAGCCGCCACAATCCCGGAAAAGCACTGTACGCGCGTTTCATCCTTTCGGGAATCATCAGCAGTGCGCATTCCATCGGACCCTTGATAGGGCTCGAAACCGCAACTCGACTGTTGCCAGTCCGTGGTTGAGACCACTGAGCTACGGGGGACGGCAACGACCATCGTGAATAAGTTACTAGATGTGATATAGCGCCGCTCACTATCCACTGACTTACACGTTACTGCCGTGCAGAGGACAGGGTAGCCCCCTCACCAAGCGACGAGCTTAACAAACTTAAGCCGCCAATTATCTTATGGCATTATAAGCAGTTTGTTCTGTGTACTGATTACAGAAGAGTAGTAGGGGGTGTTGAATGGTATAGGTGGAATTTCCTCACATCTAGGCTCACTCAGACAGCCGCCACAATCCCGGAAAAGCACTGTACGCGCGTTTCATCCTTTCGGGAATCATCAGCAGTGCGCATTCCATCGGACCCTTGGTAGGGCTCGAAACCGCAACTCGACTGTTGCCAGTCCGTGGTTGAGACCACTGAGCTACGGGGGACTGCAACGACCATCGTGAATAAGTTACTAAGTTACTCTTCTGGAAAATAAATCCACGCACAGAAACAATTGATTTGTTGCGAAGAATAGCTGCAACCGAGATGTATGATGACAGATTGTTAGTAAATTGTAAGCGGCAAAATTACGATGAGAAACGCAGGCTGCATGGGAATATCATACATTCAGCTAACCACCTTATCTGCGCCATCTGCCGAGGCTCTTGATACCCATTATGTGTCTACCCCCATGCGATTAACTATGCAATGCTCAATGTTTTCATTGCAAATCACACCGTGGGTATGGAGATTTGCTCGTTCATTGTTTTCCCAGCCATGTCTAAGTGGTTCCATTCCAAACCCCGCTGTTAGATACCATCGTGCCCAGGTGTCCCACCACATACCCATTTGAGATATTCTCCAGTCACTGGTTGTCATCCACCGTGTTATTCCCTTCATTCTCCATTGACCCGGAGACACTATACCCACCATTCGATGCAGTGTGAAGCTAACCAGTCCCGTATAGTTGTTGAATACATTTAAAGAGGCGAGCCAATTCCGCGCAGTACTTTGTATTGTGATCGTTTGAACGTAGCAATTGAGGTGATTTGCCTTCCTTCTGTGCCTTGCAAAGATCCATTTGTTCTGGGACTTAGGTATGTACATATTGCGCTTAAGTTACATTTTGTTAAATTGTACCGTAGGTAACGTCTCGGCTTTGTTTCTTGATTGGACAAAGGGAGTTGTTACGTGGCACTTGAGCCCCAAGCGAATCTGTCGCTTACATAAATAGCTTATCGCCACAGTAGATTATACAGCCACAT